GGAAGGGCCTGACGACAAAGGTATGTGTGACCGATGACAGGTTCCGGGAGGCTAAGGTAGTTGTCCAGGGTCACACAGCTAATTCGTGGCAGAACTGGAGCTGGACCCTACATGTTTTGATACCCAGTTAACACACCTGCTGCTTAGTTCTCTGTGCAGTCCTGCCTTCCTGGAAAAAGTAAAGCAAAGGAAATGAAAGAAAGCGTCCTCAGTCATTTCCTGATCTCTTTTGAATCAGGGCTTCCGTGCTAACGGGTTTTTAACAGCAGTTTTAGATGAACTTCGTGGGGACAGTAACTTGGGCTGTTTGTCAAGGGGATAGCTTTCTTCTGATTGATCAGGATATCGGGATTCGGAATCAGGCACGGCCAGCGGGCCCCTCAGAGGTCGGCGGAGTGAGTCGGCGAGGTTGGCTGGCTGCTGGAGCTGGCTGGGTCTCGGGCCAGGATGGTTGAGTTTGGTTTTCTCCCCGTGGCACGTGGCACATGGTGCTCACGAGGCCGAGGTTTTCCTGGAACAGAATCTCTGCTCGGGGTCACAGGCAGCACCTCCGTTCGTTACCAGCTTCCCGTGGTTCCCAGGCGCCGGGTCACAGGGCACTTGTCCAGAATGACTGTGCTCAGCCCGCCGCGCCTGGACAAACATGTGTGCCTACTAGCGACACGGTGGGGGACCCAGGCGCGGTCATAATTCTTCAGACACAGGAGAAGAACTTGGAATGTATTGACTGGCCTGGCAAGGAGGGTCCTTAGAAATCTTTAATTCTTAACAATTTAAGTCTCTGCTATAAAAGCCTTGCGTTTGTGAGATGTGCTTGTCACCTGGGGGCTCATCTGCCTCATTCCTGTGCTCATTTCTGTGGGATGTCAATCCAGCGCTTTGAGTAACTCTAGGACAGCGGTTCTCAACCTGTGGGTCGCGACCCTTTGGGGGTCGAACGACCCTTACACAGGGGTCGCCTAAGACCATCGGCAAACACATATATCATTACATATTGTTTTTGTGATCAATCACTATGCTTTAATTATGTTCAATTTGTCACAATGAAAATACATCCTGCATATCAGATATTTACATGACGATTCATAACAGTAGCAACATTACAGTGATGAAGTAGCAACGAAAAGAATTTTATGATTGGGGGTCACCACAACATGAGGAACTGTATTAAAGGGTCACAGCATCAGGAAGGTTGAGAACCACTGCTGTAGGACTTGGTGTATGTAACTCTGGGACTTAGTGTATGTAAACCGGCATCTGACGCGTGCTCACCAGGCTCCCCTTGGTTCTGCTTGTGTGTTCCACAGGACCCGGCCTTCCCAGCTGTCATCCACGACAAGCTGCAGGTCCCCAACACCACCCGCAAGGCCTGGAATGACAGGGACAACCGCTGTGACATTTGTGCGACGCACCTGAACCAGCTGAAGCAGGAGGCCATCCAGATGGTGGTGACCTTGGAGCAGGCAGCGGGTAGCGAGCACTACGACGGCTCCCCCGGCTCGCCCCCACCCCTGCCCAGCATCCCCGCGCTGGGGGGGTCCCGGCACGGGGGCGGGCTGCCGCAGCCCCGGGACTGGGCCTTCGTGCCCGCCTCCTACGCCTCCTCCAACTACGCGGCCTTCGTCACCAGCAAGCACAGCGGCAAACCCAGCAGCCTCGGCATCAGCAATGGGGCCGAGAAGAAGAGTGTGTCCCCCACCCATCAGGCCAAGGTCAGCCTCCAGATGGCCACCAGCCCCAGCAATGGGAACATCCTCAACTCCGTGGCCATCCAGGCTCACCAGTACGTGGATGGCACCTGGTCCCTGTCAAGAACCAACGGGGTCACCCTGTACCCCTACCAGGTGAGTAGCCCCTGAGCAAGGCAGCGCAGGGCTGGTCGGGGTCAGAGCAGAGAAGCGGGCGGGTGACGCTACTGTTCTCCACTCTTGTGCTTCTGGAAACTCCCAAACTCTGAACCTGATGCTTCCACGTGGCCCCCGTGGACATTGCTAACCACGGATAAAACACATGAGAAGCCACTGACCCATGATAACACTCTGCTTCCATTGTCCACAGTGTCTACAGGAGGTGTAGACTCCCTCCCCAACCTCTCCCACCTCGAGGGACCATAACCCTTTGCTGTTTGCTGTGAGGTTACCACACGGGTTTCCACTTTGGTCATTACCTTTTCTCAGTTGTTGAAGTTAGCACACACTCCCAAGTTTTCCTATAGGAATAAGAGAGCAGGTCTTAAATCTGCCAAGGAACCGAAACAAATTCTCTTAATTTTTCTTGGCTGAGTTTTCTCTTGGACGAGGGTTGGGTTTGCCGTATGTGTTCCCTTTGTCCCCTGCGAAAGCGTTGACTGTTACTGTGGAGTGAGAGGTGCCCAGGGTCATGCAGTGTATCAGCCAGGGAAGATAACTGGTGTAACAAATGAGCTTGTGGTATGTATTTCTCATATCTCTGTTTTATTGGTGTTTGGGCGGAGGGTGGCCTTCCACTGAGATGTAGGGACTCAGACTCCCCTACCTAACATGCCAACATGTTGCAGGGGCCTCAGGGCCTCAGAGCCTTCCGTCAGATCTTGCACAACCAGCCAGGACCTGGGTAGAAGGATGTGCACCAGACCATTCTATGTAGAACAGCAAAACCCTAAGCTCTGTGAGCCGATGCCTGGTCACATAAATTAGGACCCATTCCTATAATGGGTAGTACTTATATAATGGAATATGACACTACCATTAGACTTCACATTTCAGCAAAATAGATAATGGCATGGGAAAATGCACCCGCTATATGAAGCAGCAAGCAGGGAAGAGGGAGTGTGGAGGATCTCACAGGGAGGCTGGGGGCCCAGCCTGGAAGGGTGTCGTTAACGTCCATCCACATTCCAGTGGCAAGAGCCCAGGCTTCTGTCCCCACCTTCCCTCCGGGGAGCCTGGGAGAGTCAGTCCGTCCATGTGCCCAAGAGAAGCAAGCAGCAAGTTGAGTGGACACAGGTACAGGGAAACATACATGAGTTCACCGTGGCCGATAAGCTTCCGGGTAACTTTTCTAGAGTGCGAGAGGGAATATAGATCGCGTCTCGTGATTTCTTGCAATAAAAATAAAAATTGGGAGCATGGATCATTATCTTATGAAGTACACATTCTTGGGCGGGCGGACATTGATTCACTGGGTGCTCCGTACCTTACAACATACAGCGCACCCAGGATTGTGGTGAACCCTAGAACAGGCCTACGAGGGGGGCAGGGCAGATGTCAGCTTTTCGTTTGAATTTGAAGTTGAATGGCCCGTGGCCACAGTTAGTGACAGAAGCAAGACCAGCTCTCTCCTGCCGAGAGGAAGGGGTTCCCCTACTTGGCTGCTCCCAGTGCCCCCAGAGCTACCTGCTGCCCAGAGCATTTCCGGGTTGGCTCCTTTGCAGACACGCACCCCAAATAAAAGGGCTCCCATTTTGACCTGCAGGGGCCTGGCTGCCACTTCACTTTCAGGCAGAACTTCCTGGGCTGTGGGGATAAGTATAACGAGGAGCCGGTGGCACCCTGGGTGGCTTCACGGTCGAGAACTTGAACTTGACCGTCGAGGGCAGGAGCAGAAGAGCTTCTCCCTGTTGGTGAATAGCATGCCTCTTCCGTTTGTAATTTTAAAACAGGCTGTTTTGGAAAATGACAAAAAGTAACCCATGTCTGTGGTAAAACAAAATAAAAAAAATATATGAAAAAGTTCAAATAAGACTTTAAAAAATCAACATCCCCCAGAAATAGATGGTGTAACATTTAGGTCTATTTCTTTAAGTCCTCTGTATACCCACAATTGGTAAAACGGTGACCACGTCCCATTCTGTGATCTGCTTTTTGCTGGATATACCGGGTGCATTTCCCCACGCTGTTCTCTATTTTGCTAAAATATGATCTAATGGTAGCACAATATTCCACTATATGAATACTATCCATTCTGTGACTGTGGCCTAATTTATATGACCAGGTATCAATTTGTAGAGTGCAGGGTCTTGCTACTCTACGTAAAATGGTCTGATGCACATCCTTCTACCCACGTCGGATTTCCAATGCGTCTCGGGTTGTGCTTGTCATATGATCCCGCTCCAGGGATGACTCCCACTTTACCCTCCTGGCCCGAAGCACTGGTAACATGAGCCAGGTGCTGGTTAGAAGGTTCGGCTGCTGCCCAGTGCAGATGAGCACAGACAGAGGACCCGGAAGTGGCGCTTTCATGTGCAACATTCCAGGTGTTGGAAGGCTGGTGTGCGACGGAGGACTAGATGGAGATGCTGCCTAAAGGGAAGATCTGGGTGGTGGCACATTTCTGTAATTTGGGCAATGATGCTCTCTGTCCCTCCTCTTCCCCAGCTCCAATGAGAAGGAGTTTCCTGAGTGGTAACAGATGTTTACTGAGTTCTAACAGAGTGCCAGGCGCTGTGCTAGGTGCTGGGCGGGGCTCCTGCTTGGGGCTGGAAACTCAGGTTCCTGTCCTGTGGTCCTTAGGGGAGGAGGCAGCTGAGCCTCCTGTGATAAGCCAGGGAGGTCAGTGCAAAGGCGGGGAGATGCCCAGGCCGCGTGGGGGACACACAGAAGGGCTCCCAGTTCAGCTCGCGGTGCAAGGGTGGGCCGCTGTGGCCTAAAGCCGGCTGCAAAAAGCATTCCCGCCGGCCACAACCTGCGATTGTCCCGGGCGGATCTGATGGCTTCTGGCCAACCCCAGGGCAGCCCGATTCATGCATTTCCCTCGAGCAATAGCTGAAGCCAGGGGAGGAACTCTCTCTGGGATAAAGCGACTCTGTGCCTGGCTGGGAGTCAACGTCCCCGTGGCACGGCTGTCCTCCCGGTGCCCTGCGGCGCGGGCTCCTGGCCAGGCCAGACTGCGTGTCTCCTGCTGGGGACATCTCCCTGCAGTAAATTCTCTGCAGTTCACCGCCTGGCCCGCCTGGCAGAGATGGTTGACTGCTCTGAGGGTGACCTCACTTTTCCTGCTCACTCTGCCTCCTTCCACAATGAACAGCTGGCCCGCTGGGGCGGTGCCAGGGCCGGTCCCGGGCAGAGAGGCACCCAGGCTCTGTCACTGCCGGGGTGCAGCTCCTCACTCACAGCCCGGGCCTGAGAAGCAGGAGGAAAGGACACTGCCCTTTGACCTTTTAAGGAGGATGGCAAAGACCAGGACGGGTGTGTAATAGTGAGCAGGGGAACCTGTGTGTGGGCGATAGGAGGCTCTGAGATCCATCAAACCCCGTTACCCACAGCACCGGGCCAACATCTGTAATCAGCTTCCGAAGAGAGACTTCCTTCTGTGAGCTTGCAGACATCTGCCACATCTGTGTGCAAACGTGAAGGCAGAAAAGGCTCTAGAACAAGCACGCCAAACTCAAAGGCTAACACGGGCCAAATAAACGAGGCATGGGCCACGAGTTTGACATGCTTGCTCTTGAACAGTGATGGCGAACCTACGACACACGAACTCATTTTTTTGGTTGATTTTCCTTTGTTAAATGGCATTTAAATATATAAAATAAATATCAAAAATATAAGTCTTTGTTTTACTATGATTGCAAATATCAAAAAATTTCTATATGTGACACGGCACCAGAGTTAAGTTAGGGTTTTTCAAAATGCTGACACGCCGAGCTCAAAAGGTTCGCCATCACTGCTCTAGAACCTTCATGGACCTCATGGGTTTTGACTGATTAGTTCCTTGTAGTCAGCCGTACATTAACTGGTTTGGAAGGGCGGCTGCTTTTGCCTGCTTTCCATTCATTACAGTAAATAAACTGCAGGAAAGACTGTACACATAACACTCAGCATCATAGAAGGTTCCAGAATCACAGAATGACAGCATCCACTCCTGTAGGATGGAGGAGTGGATGCCTCGTTCAGGTCCACGGCCCCGCCAGTTGTTGAACCTCAGTTTAGTAGCTTAACATCTTAGTCTGTTTTCTTCCTATGAAATCCCTACCTTGTATACGACTACTGGGGAGGACAATTAAGAAAAAAATGAAAGCTTTATAAAGTATAAGGCAGGGATACCGATGTGGATTGCCTATTTCAACCCCCTCATTCGCTAGAGGAGAACCCCGAGGCTGAGAGAGAGGAAGGTTCTTCTGTTCAGCTTCCTGAATCTTGATTTAGTCTCTTTTGTTGGCTCACTGGCTCACTGAAGACGTGGATCCATTTTATTCTCATGTCCCTCCCAGCAGCTAAATGTGTAAAACTGGATGCTCGTTAGAGAAAGCTTCAGTCTCAGGGAAACATGAAAGGTGTTTTTTATGATGGGCCCTAGATTTTGGGGGAAAATTGCAGGCCAAAAAAATCTACTCGGACCCTAAGATTTTTGGTGGAAACCACCAGTTAGTTGGCGCCACGCTAATCTTTAACCCAAAGTACCCTTGAGGATACTCAATAAGTCTCTGGTTGCAATGAATAGAATTCTGATGCCACACTCAATCCAGGGAGATTTGAAAGGGTAGAAGTACTTTGTTTCTTAGGGTTTTGATAAATTGACCTTATCAAGAAAATTCAAGAAGATGTTAGATTAGTGCGTGAGTCACAAATCCAAATGGATCATTCAGCGTGTATTCCTGGAGCGAGGGATGCGGCTTTGGTGAAAATGACCGTGCTTTCTCACCAAGCACCCGTGGGAACCCATGGCCCAGGAAATGCTAGACTGAACTCCGGCTGAAGTCAGGGAGGGATTGTCCTATTACATCTTTAGAAATGCATCGTGTCTAGAAAGCACGGGCATTATAGGAGGTTACTCTTTAAGATGGGTGAGCACAAGGGACACGGCAGCAGCACCAGCCAGAAGCCACCCCAGTTCGCTAAGCTGTGGGGTCTCCGCAGGACCAGGC